TCTTAGAGAAGACTAACTTTTACTAAAGTATTTTTATGATAAGATTCTTGTACTTTTACTCAAGTATCACTTTGAGGAACTTTTTACAACACTGCACAGACATTGTGCACGGAGGAATCCGTCTGCAGGAAAGTGTGGCGGATATTGGAATWAACCCAGTGTTGTGATGTGATGTGTAGAGCAGTGGGAGGGGCTTCCCAGGAGCTCTGATCCATGTGTCTCATGAACTATGAAAGCTGCAAAAACGAACCTCCACCACAACATGACCACACATGACTGCTGATCGACCACGCTGGACCCTTTAAAAACAGCATCAGCTCAAAACAACAAATTATCTCAAGACCCCTCGCCTCAGATCGTGAGTTATTTCCCTAAAGACGTCTAATGGCTGCTGCGTGTTCCCACTCACAGCTTCTGACCTCAGAGCAGCTGCTTCCTCTCAGCTCCTCACAAACAGCATCGAAAAGCCCAAAACYTTCAGAACGTAAAACACTTTCCACAAGACGGATGAGTTTGAATCCAAACACAGACGCACGGCGTTGCCCTSGAATCAGCCACTCACGTTCGTCCACTGCCGGGCCCTTCTGATTGGCTGTTACTTCCTGCCTGCTGCAGTTTGGACCGCTCGATGTGCTCCACGTAGGTCTGGATCATCTGCAGGCCGAGAAGAACACCATAGTTAGTTTTTTTTTTAAAAACAAGTCCGAATACAAGGAGTCACAGAAATATCAAGAACCCTGTTGGATTTAGTGCAATAAGAACAAAAAAATAAAATAAAATGTAGTGAAACAAACAACAACCACAGAAACGTAATTTTGTATGACTAAAAGATTTTTTTTGTGAAATTWAAAAAACAAGTGAATCCAAAGTAAACAAGAAATTTATAGAGGAACAAAAAATAGTAAAAGTAAAACAGGAAAAGAAAACTAAGATTAAATTGCAAAAAGGACCAAATAAATAAGCATTCTTATAATTACATAAGCGTTACATGGTGGTGATTTTGTTTCAGTTAAACGTTTAAAAAAGCTAACTAGTGTTATAAATAAACCCTAACAGGATTACTGACCTCTGTATGACGCTGATGAAGAGTGTTGTATTCCTTCTTCATCTCTGATTCTCGTTCCTCCAGTCGAGTGACTGAAAAACAAACAAACTGATGAATGAATAAATATAAAATAATAATAATTTCCTCCTAAATGAAGTTCATTGATTTAGGATCTGAGGGCTCAGGTGTGGTTTCAGCTTSATAAACCCATGAAGGAAGGTGGAGCCGCTCACTCTGGTCTGAGTAGTTTTTGGCCTTCAGCTCCAACTGTTTCCCCTGCAGCTCCAGAACCTCCACCTGGATCTGCAGCTCCTTCTTCTCAGCCTCCAGCGTGTCCTCGAACTCTATGAATTTCTGGAGGAAGCAGAAGAAAATCAATTCACAAATAAAAGCAAAAACAAGACTTTATGGGATMTTTAAGGAGATCTATGAACACAAAGCTTTTATTTATTTTTTAACAAAATGCCTCATGAAAAAAAGGGTTTCCTGCTCTATATGTTTATCTCAGTGTGGAGCAGACATTGGTAACACTGAGCTTGTGTCTCCTTTGGTTTTGTCCAAAGCTGCTCACAAAGGCGCCTTTTTTTTTTCACAGCACAAAGTCTTAATACTGTAATCCTCTGACTGCAGGCAGACCTTGGAACCAGCGTTAGAATTCACCTGATTTAAACCAAACAACAGTGTGATATGAGACTATTGTGAGTTCYAAATGTTGACACTAAAAGTCACCAGAAAACGAGCCTCATAAACAGGGGCACTGCCAGGGTG